ATGGGATGGCTGGGTCAAGTGGTAGTTCTAGATCCTTGAGGAATCGCCACACTGTTTTCCACAATGGTTGAACTAGTTTACAGTCCCACCAACAGTGTAAAAGTGTTCCTATTTCTCCACATCCTCTCCAGCACTGAATTTTAAATTTTTAAATTTTATTTTAGTTTCAGGGGTACATGTGTGGGTTTGTTATAAAGCTAAATTGTGTCTTGCAGGGGTTTGAAGTATGGGTTGTTTTGTCACTCAGGGAATAAGCATGGTACCTGACAGGTAGTTTTTCGCTCTTCACCCTCCTCCCGCCCTCCACCCTGGTGTCTGTTGCTTTTTGTGTGTCCACGGGTACTCAACGTTTGGCTCCCACTTATAAGTGAGAACATGTGGTACTTGGTTTTCTCTTCCTGTGTTAGTTTGCTTAGAATAATGACCTCCAGCTCCATCCTCAGTGTGAATTTTAAAATCCCTTTATTCTGGAGAGAAGCAACACTGTACTGCCGTGGTTTCTTTCTGTTAATGCAGTGGTTCTCCAAGTGTGGTCACCAAACCAGTCACATCCCAGTGTCACCTGGGAGCTTGTTAGAAATAGAAGTTATTAGGCCCTGCTGCCAATGCCCAAAATGAGAAACTCTGGGGCCTGGACCTGGGAATCTCGGCTCACTGCAACCTCTGCCTCCCGGTTCAAGTGATTCTCCTGCCTCAGCCTCCCGAGTAGCTGGAATTACAGGCGCCCGCCACCATGCCCAGCTAATTTTTGTATTTTTAGTAGAGATGGGGTTTCACCATGTTGACCAGACTGGTCTCAAACTCTTGACCTCAGGTGATCCACTCACCTCAGCTTCCCAAAGGGATTAAGGGTGTGAGCCACCGTGCCCAGCCTCCTTTTCTGCTGTTTTTAGAATCTTCTGCTACCATATCCACTGTTTCCACTACCAGATCCATAACCATCACCATAGGGACTGCCTGAGCTTCTTCCACCAAAACTGCCCCCTTTCATGGGTTCATAATTTGATTGCTGTTTCAACAATCAAAATGTTTTAACAAGTCTGCTGGGTGATTCCGATGCACACTGAAGTGTGAGAGCCACTGGTTTAATGAGGAAGCCTGTGGGAATACCTTGAAGCAAACAGAGAATCTCGGTTCAGCCAGGTGACTGATGGAAAGAGAAACTCTCGCTAATTGGTGGGGATGCAATTTTCTGGGGTTTTATTTTGGTTCCCCCTTGCAGTGATGAGAAGATTCCTGTTGGCCAGATATGAAGGAGATATAGGTCCTGGAAGTTATGGGGTGAGGGAGTGTTTTCATGGACCTCTCCGGAATGGAGCAAATCCACCTGGGGTTTCATTGACCAAATCCACCTAGGGGACAAGGACGGCAGAGAAATCAAGTCCCCGTGCACCTCCAGATCAAGGAAGTCGAATGTTCCAAAGTACAGCTGTTGAAAAGGGTCAGGTTGTATCAGAGAGGAGTGTGTCTTGGTTTGGCCAGGACTTTTCCAGCTTTAGGACTGAAAGTCCCATGTCCCTGGAAGCTCCCCAGCCCTGGGAAAACCAAGACAGTTGGTCACTGGTCACTGTAGTTCAGTGACTGCCTGCTGGAATTACTTGGTGGGCTTTAAAAAATACTGATGCCTGGGCCCCTCTCTGGAGATAATGGTAGACTTGGTCTGGATGTTTAGAAGTTCCTCAGGTGATCCTAAGGTAGCCGGGGTTAAGAATGGTTGCAGCTGCTTGCCTGCCATTTCTCCTATTAAAAAAAATAAAACACAAAACATATACAAGTCAATGGTTCTAATGAGGTTGAACCCCTACCACACATTATATACAAAAATTAGCTCAAAATGGATCAATGACCTAAATAGAAAGGCTAAAACTATAAAATGCTTAAAAGAACATAAAGGGGTAAATCTTCATGACCTTAGATGTGGCAATGGATTCATAGATATAACACTAAAAGCATGAGTAAGAACAATAAAAATACACAAATTGGACTTCGTCAAAACTTTTGTGCACAAAGGACATGATCCAGAAAGTGAAAAGACAGCCCACAGAATGGGCTAGAATATTTGTAAATCATATGTCTGATAATGGTCTAGTATTCAGAATATATAAAGAATTCTTACAACTCAGAAAAAGACAACCCAACGGAAAATGAGCAAAGGATTTGAGTAGAAATTTCTCCAAAGAAGATATAAATCACCAACAAGCACACGAAAAGATGCTTAGCCTCATTAGTCATTAGGGGAATGCAAATAAAAACCACAAAGGACAGACCACTTCATACCTACTAAGATGGATCTAATAATAAATAACAATAATAATGGAAAATAGAAGTTGGTAAGGATGTGGAGAAATTGGAACCCTCGTACATTGCTGGTGGGAATGTAAAATGATGTAACCAACAGTTTGGTGGTTCTTCAAAAAGTTAAACATAGAATTACCATAGGATGGCTGGGCTCGGTGACTCACGCCTGTAATCCTGACACTTTGGGAGGCTGAGGTAGGGGATCACTTGAGGTCAGGAGTTCCATACAAGCCTGGCCAACATGGCAAAGCCCTGTGTCTACTAAAAATACAAAAATTAGCCAGGCATGGTGGCGTGCGCCTGTAATCCCAGCAACTAGGGAGGCTGAGGCAAGAGAATCCCTTGAACCCAGGAGGCAGAGGTTGCAGTGAGCCACTGCACTCCAGCCTAGGAGACAGAGTAAGACTGTTTCAAAAAGAGAAAAAAAAGAAAAGAAAAAGAATTACCATATGACTCAACAATTCTACTCCTAAGTATATACCCCAAATAACTGAAAGCAGATACCCAAACAGATAGTTGTGCACAGATATTCATAGTAGCATTATTCAAAATAGCCAAAACAGGGCAACAGCCCAAGTGCCTATCAACAGGTGAATGGATAAACAAATTGTGGTATAACCATACAATGGAATATTATTTGGCCATAAAAAAGAACAAAATATTGATACATACTACAACATGGATGAACCTCAAAAACAATATACTAAGAAAAAGAAGCCAGTTATAAATGACCACAATAATGTATGATTCCATATATGTGAAATATTCAGAATAGGTAAATCCATTGAGACAGAAGGCAGATTAACATTGCCCAGGGCTGGAGGAGGATGGGATAGGGAATGAATGCCTAATGGGTGCAGGGTTTTCTTTTGGGGTGATGAAAAAGTTTTGGTATTAGACAGAGGTGGTGGTTGCAGAACATTGTTTAAATGGCTAATTGTATGTTACATGGATTTCACCTAAATTAAAAGAAAATCATCAGGGTACTCATATCTACAAAGTACATTTGAAATCAAGCTCTTTAGAAGTCAGAGTCTTCCACAGCTGGCCTTTAACTAGCCCCTGTAGCCTATGTTCTACCTCTCTCCTACTATTTTAATCGTTATTGCTACCATCACCATGATACTGCATGGGATCCCATTGAATCCCAAAGTGTCATATATGCTCTGCCTCTGCTTCCAAACTCACCAGTGTGCTTTGGGAAGTCTCCACCAGCTGTTCCAGCCCATGGTCCTCTCTCGGCTCCAATGCTCTTAACTTTATGCCCTTGCCACTCAAAGCATAGTACCTGCGTGGCATCCTCTGGGAGCTTGGAAGAAAGGCGGAAATTCGAGTTCCCGCTGCAGACACACTAAACAAGATCTTCAAATTATTTTAGTGCATATTAAAGTTTGAGAAGTGCTGGTTTGTACTAGTTGGCCCCAAGTCAGGCTGTGGATCAGAATCACTTGGTAAGCTATGCTTATGTATATTATACTCTTTCAATAATACATGCAGATGGTAAAATTACAAGCTGTACATATACAAAAAAGGGTGAAAAAAGTAAGTTTCCCTCCAATTTCAATTCCTTGGATTTCCAGCCCAGAAGTCATCTCTCTTAATGTTTCTTGGGTATTTTTCCTCCTTCTATGCATATGCAAGCATATATGTACATATGTATTTCCTGCCCTCATTTTGATTTTACTCAAGTGATAAAATACTGTACACATGGATTTGCACTTTTCACTCAAAATTTATCATGGAGATTATTTTAGCACATGTTGATATACCCAATATTCTTCTTAGTGACTGCATAGCAGTTTTTGTAAAGTTGTATAGTTATAATATATGTAATTTATTTATGTTCAAACCATTGGCTGGGCACAGTGGCTCAAGCCTATAATCCCAACACTTTGGGAGACTGAGGCAGAAGGATTGCATGAGCCCAGAAGTTTGAGACAAGACTGGACAACGTAAAAAAAAAAAAAAAATTAATTGGGTGTGGTGGCATGTACCTGTGGCCCCAGCCACTCAAAGGCTGAGGCAGGGGGATTGCTTGAGCCTGGGAGGTGGAAGCTGCCGTGAGCGGTGTTCCTGCCACTGCACTCCAGCCTGGGAGACAGAGTAAAACCCTGTCTCAAACCCCTGCCCCGCACCCCCTTCCCCTGCCCAAACCATTAAAGAACACCATATTGTTTATTACGGCGCTATGGTGGCTATCCTTTGTGTATATCTTTGAGCATATGATGTGCTAATTTCTATAGGATTAAAGAATTGCCAATTATGTGTGCTTTAAAGTGGTAAGAGATAGTGCTGAATCCTCTCTAAAAAGAGGTACCAATTTACAGTCTTGGAGAACTTTTAAAAACACAAAATTTGAGGCTACTCTGTATTTCAATTCATGAGAACTCTGTGGGCAGAGCCTGGGAATCTGCATTTTACTTCTTTGGTGATAGTGATAAAAGAAATCTGCAGAATGGAGTCGGGAACCAGAGGGCAGATCTCCCTTGACCCCCAAGCTGCTATTCCTCTTGGGCTACCTTGGGTTGCTATTTATCTATGTGACTGTTCTATCTCCTCACCACGGCGGAAGGTTCCTAAAGAAAGGCCTCAGGATTGCTGCCTCCTTATGTTCTTACCCCAGCACAATGCATTGTACTACAATGTTTGTTGATGTTGAGTGTCTGTGGCTCATGTGATTTTTTTTTTTTTTTTTTTTTTAGTTCCATGGACCAAAGACAGAGGAGAATCCTGGGCCAGCCCCTTTCCATCCCTACTTCCCAGCCCAAGCAGAAAAGGACATCACTGATATCTTTCTTTTCCAAGGTCTGACACAAAATATTATGAACACATTTCTCCTCCCAGCAGCTGTTTTGTAAGATGTATGTTTGCTTGGTCTGCAGTTAGTTAGTCCTGCTCCCCTGAAGTTCCTTCTGAAAAAACTTTGATGACAGTTCTTTTAACATGGATAGGATGTTTACAGGATGACAAGAAGATTAGTTGAGAATAACTTGCTGCTAACTCAATAATACAAATATGGTGTGGTGGCTCATGCCTGTAATCCCAGCACTTTGGGAAGCTGAGGCAGGTGGATCACTTGAGCTCAGGAGTTCTAAACCAGCCAGGGCAACATGGCAAAACCCTGTCTCTACCAAAAATACAAAAATTAGCTGGGCATGGTGGCATGTACCTGTAGTCCCAGCTACTCAGGGCTGAGGTGGGAGGATCGCTTGAGCCCGGGAGGTAGGGGTTGCAGTGAGTTGAGATCGTGCCACTGCACTGCAGCCTGGGCAACAGAGTGAGACACTGTCTTTTTTTTTTTTAAAAAAAGTTAGATAAAAAAGGAATGAGCTGTAATGAAAATCCAGGAATACTAATGAAGCTTGGAAATCACCAAATCTCATCCATAGCACTACTGAGATAGCTGAATCTCAAGCCAGTCTCCCGCTCTAGGCCCCTCTCTAAGGATGGTGGGGAGGTGGCTTTTGTCTTCTCTGATCTTGTCCGGATCTTTCAACATCTTGATTCTGACTCTAGTACCTGTTGCTGTGTTTTGGGTCCTGCTGCACACCAGGGTCTTCCTGCATGAGAGCTCACAGGCTTACTACAAAGGCTCAGAGACTAGCCTATCTCTTGCCCCATCCCTGGCCCTGCAATTACTTTGAGTTCAGTGTTTTTGTTTGTTTGTTTGTTTTTGAGACGGAGTCTTGCTCTGTTGTCCAGGCTGGAGTGCAATGGTGTGATCTCAGCTGACTGCAACTTCTGCCTCCCAGGTTCAAGCAATTCTCCCTGCCTCAGCCTTCCAAGTAGCTGGGATTACAGGCATCTGCCACCACGCCCAGCTAACTTTTTGTATTTTTATAGAGATGGGGTTTCGGGGTTTTGCCTTGTTGGCCAGGCTAGTCTCGAACTCCTGACCTCAGGCGATCCGCCTTCCTTGGCCTCCCAAAGTGCTGGGATTACAGGAGTGATAGAGTTTAGTTCTTAAAGTACAGGTTTCTGCATCAGACACACAGTGTTCCCCAATTTGCATTATTCATGAATTTCTCTTCCTGCTCTTAATTGCTTGTTCAGATGCATGCATTCTGGAGTTGGGACATCCTTTAAGTGCCCTGAAATGTTTGCAGATGTGTACTAGATCAGTCCTGAAATGTTTGCAGATGTGTACTAGATCAGTCCTGAAATGTTCGTAGATGTGTACTAGATCAGTCCTGAAATGTTCGTAGAATGTGACTGATCAGTCCTGAAATGTTCGTAGATGTGTACTAGGTCAGTCCTGAAATGTTTGTAGATGTGTACTACGTCAGTCCTGAAATGTCTGTAGATGTGTACTAGGTCAGTCCTGAAATGTCTGTAGATGTGTACTAGATGTTTGCAGATATGCTTTGCTAATTATGTCAAGTGCTATTGAGAGTTTGAGTAACGTGACTACTGAGAACTGACCCTTGGAATTAGCCATATGGCAGGGTAGGGGTGAGGGGACATTAGCCTGATTGCAGAGGGTTCAAGAGGCAATGGGAGGAGACAAATGGGAGAAAACAAGTATAGAAGTCTTTCAAGGCATTTGGCTACAAAGGAGAGCAGAAAAATGGGAAAGATCTGGAAAAGAAGGGGTAAAGGGAGCTCTTTGAGGAGTAACGGCACTCCTTTCCCTGTGAAACGGATCCCTATTCCCAGGTCACATCAACACTGATCAAGTCTTTCTTTCTTTCAACTTCTGTCACGCCCATAGCTGCTCTAGAGCCGCTCCCCGTAATTTCCCAAACCTACCTTACCACCAGCCTGCATTATCTTTATTGCCCTCTTTCTCCATCAATTTATTCATTATGTAGACCAAATGAGTACATTTCCAACAAAACTCAGGCATTTTTAGTAGGAGAATGAAGGGGTAAAATTGAGCAGGCAATCACGGGATTTTCTTTAGAGGGAGGGATTGGGGTTGGGATTGGGTATGACTCTGAACACTCCCAAATTAATACATTTTTGACCCATCACCCAGGTCTCTTGGAAACTGAGGTTCCAGAAGCGGGAGCCCCTGAAGAATGTGCTTTTCATCTTGGCAGAAAGAGCTCGGGACCCCAATGCTAAAAAGCGTCACATGGCAATGAGAGGCCTGGGAACCATGGCCCGTGAAGCGCCTGACAAGGTAGGGAAGAAGAGTGGGGCTCAGCCAGCCCCCCAAGCCTCTCCAACCCTCTTGGTGTGGAGACTCCAGGACTGGAGTATGGTCTCTGAGGTATTAGTTATCTATCACCCCGGAACAAACCACCGCACACACTTAGCAGCTTACAGCACCACATGTTGATTATCTCGGTTTTCGCTGGTCAGGAGTCCAGGTGTAGCTCAGCTGGGTCCTCTGCTCAGGATCTCACCAGGCTGCAATCAAGTGTCTGCCAGACTGCATTCCTTCCTGAAGCTCAGGGTTCGCTTACATAGTTGTTGGCAGAATTCAGTTACTTCCCGTTGCGGGACAGAGGTTTCTGTTTTTTTGACTGCTGTATGCTGGGGGCCACTTTCAATGCCTAGAAGCCACTCTCTCACAGCATTATGTAGACCAAATGAGATGTTTGTAGATGTGCACTAGATCTTTGTTTGTAGATGTGTACTAGATGTTTGTAGATGTGTAGATGTGTACTCGCTTCCTCCAGGCCAGCAGGAGGGTGTTGCCTCCTCCTGTCTGCTAAGATAGAGTGTTATGGGCTGGGCTGCGGTGCCTCACGCCTGCAGTCCCAGCACTTTGAGAGGCCAAGGCGGGCGGATCACTTGAGGTCAGGAGTTCAAGACCAGCCTGGCCAACATGATGAAACCCCATCTCTTTTGTATTTTTGTAAAAATACAAAAAATTAGCCAGGCATGGCTGCAATCTCAGCTACTCGGGAGGCTGAGGTATGAGCAGAGATCACCCCAGGCACTCCAGCCTGAGCAACAGAGCGAGACTCCATTTCAAAAAAAAAAAAAAAAAAGAGTCTTATGCAATATAAAGTCACGTCTGTAGTCTGGAAGCGAGTCACAGGTTCCTTCTGCACTCAAGCGGAGGAGACTCATTCAAGGTGTCACTCATTCAGGGTCATCTTAGGCTCATGTCACCTCAGCAATATCAGTTGTGGGAGACAGAGCTGCAGGAAAGATAAACTCACAGCTGTTACCCTTCCTGATAAATTTAAGTGATTTTTTTCTAGTAATGTATGTTTGTTTCATAAAAGATGTTTTTTCCACCTCCTCCTTTACCATCTGCCAACTTCAGTGCTCATTTTGTCTCCTCCCCACTATACAGGTACCTAGTTCTCCCCAGGCCCTGAGATCACCCAGGTCTGCCGCCCTATTTGAAGAGCCCTACCCAGCTTCACCCACTCACATGCCACACTCCAGATCACTCTTTCTGTTTTCCTTCCTAGGCTGAGTTGGGCTCTTGGGTTGAGTTAATGGAGCTTTTCTATTTTAATGAGAGTTGTGCAGATCTTGAAAAAAAGCCTTGGTCTCTTAATTCAAGTCCTAGGTTATTAGTAGCCTAGATGTGGGGTTGCTTTTCAACCCATGGGGAGCAATTCCTGTGCTATTAATGCTTTCAAACATTGGTGACAGGTGAGAAAGCATAAGAAAATTGTCCTCGACCTGCTGGTGTACGGATTGTATGACCCTGTGAGTTTGGAAGTCATCCATGAGAGTATGAAGACTCTGACCGTCGTTCTGGGCAAGATCCAGGGGAAAGGTTTGGGTTCCTTCTTCATAGACATCACACTTCAGACCAGGACTTTATTAGATGATGTAAGTAAATTAGAAAAATTCTACTTTCTTGAAATCAAAGTGGGATTAGAAATGTGACTGTGGGGCCGGGTGCGGTGGCTCATGCCTGTAATCCCAACACTTTGGAGGCCAAGGTGGGTGGATCGCGAGGTCAGGAGACAGAGACCACCCTGGCCAACATGGCGAAACCCTGTCTTTACTAAAATACAAACAACTAGCTGGGCCTGGTGGTACACGCCTGTAGTCCCAGCTACTCAGGAGGCTGAGGCAGGAGCATCACTTGAACTCGGGAGGCAGAGGTTGCAGTGAGCCGAGATCACACCACTGCACTGCGGCCTGGCAATAGAGCAAGATTCCATCTCAAAAAAAAAAAAGACATGTGAGCTGTGGATGGTTTGTTGCTGTGGGAACAAGGTCTCTATTATTCACTTATTTATTAACACATCTTGTTGAGAGACTAGTGCTGTGCTAGGGTTGGGAGGACATATAAAGATGCATAGAATTTTATCTCTACCCCTCAAGGGTTTTTTTGTTTGTTTGAGACAGGGTCTCACTCTGTCGCCCATGCTGGAGTGCCATGGCTTGATCTCGGCTCACTGCAACCTCCGCCTTTTGGGGTCAAGTGATCCTCCCACCTTAGCCTCCCAAGTAACTGGGACTATAGGCACATGCCACCACGCCTGGCTAATTTTTGTATTTTTGGTAAAGATGGGTTTTCACTATATTGCCCAGGCTAGTCTCAAACTCCTGGGCTCTAGTGACCTACCTGCCTCGGCCTCCCAAAGTGTTGGGATAACAGGTGTGAGCCACTGCGCCTGGCGAGTATTCATCTTAACAGAGAAGTGGGTATATGTACGCTGATGATGATGTACACTGATTGACTAACATGTAGTCAATGCTCTCTTATAAATGTGGCAATAGCAATGATTAGCATTTAGTGAGCCCTCACTGTGTACCAGGCACAGTGCTAGGCAGTTTACATGAATCATCTCATATAATCGTCACAATAACCCTGTGAGATGGGCACTGAAATTATCTTCACTTTGTAGACAAGGAAACCAAGGCACAGAAAGGTTAGAACTTGCCCAAGTTCACAGAGCCAGGAAGTAGTCATGTCGCCAGCTCCTCTGACTATAGGGCTGCACTCTTAACTCTCAGATGACAAGTCAGGCTAAGCAAAAAGTGCACCGGCACATTGTTCAGTCCGAAACTGAGAAGTGTCAGAGACCCTGACTGCAAGCTAACAAGTTAGCCTGCCAGTTATTCTGTCCCTGAAAGACAAGACCTACAGAACAGTGAACAGACCTTTTATTTACTCCCAGAGAGATTTGCAGCATGTCCCCAAGCCGTAATTCTCTCCGGAGCCACACGGCGAGAGCCAGATGTGTCAGCAGCACAGGAGGGGAGAAGAGGCCTTGACCTTATGTAACTTGGAGCTCATATAGGAGCTGGGCACCTGTGTCCCACCTGCTCCAGAGACACAGCGGGATTTTTGCTCTTGAATGTAAGCCAGTCCTCTCTGGGGAGGGAGCGAGGAAAGGTCCCTACTTACCACACTGGAGTGTAAGCAGATGTCTCTGGGGAAATGGCTGTAAATCTCTTGGAGGTGCCATCTGAACTTCCAGAACGTGTTTGTCGTTCAACCACTTTTTTTTTTTTTTTTGAGACAGGATCTCGCTCTATTGCCCAGGCTGGAGCTCACTGCAGCCTCAACCTCCCAGGCTCAAGCGATCCTCCCACCTCAGCCTCCTGAATGGCTGGGACCACAAGTGCATGCCACTGTGCCTGGCTAATTTTTGTAGTTTTTGTAGAGATGGGGTCTCACTATGTTGCCCAGGCTGGTCTCTAACTGGGCTTAAGCAATTCTCCTGTCTCAGCCTCCCAAAGGGCTGGGATTTCAGGCATGAGACATGTGCCTGGCCTTCAACCGTTTTTAAAAACCCTGGTTGCCTGGAATTTTTGAGCAGAAATCCCTGGCCACGTAGAAACACAGAAATTCTTATGCAGAGCTGTTTGCTGACAGTTTATATCTCGATTACAGATAGCAGTCTTCACTATCTGAGGCCCTTCCCTAGGAGGATGGGCATCTGTTTTACATGTCTATACATCTTATAGCATTAGGGTGTGGCTTTGGATGGGTACATTCTCCATTAAAGTTAAACACACACGCGCGCACACACACACACACGCGCACACACACACCCTCACTGATAGAGCAGTGAAGATAATACAACCCTAAGCCAGGCATGGTGGTGTGTGCCTGTAATCCCAGCTACTCAGGAGGCTGAGGCAGGAGGGTCACTTGAGCCCAGGAGTTGGAGGCCAGCCTGGGCAATGTAGCAGGATGCTGTGTCTAAAAAAAATAAAATAAAATGCAACCCTAAGGCAATTTCGGTATGCATCATGTGCTAAATTTTTAAAATATACTTCACGATACCATTAGTGGTCCTCAGTCTTGCTGGGTCTCTGTGACCCCCAGTTCTTGGTGCTCCTTCCCCCCTGTGAAGGCCCACCCCAGCCCTCCTCCCTCTGGTTTACCTGGAGGAGGGCTTAGACTACAAAACCTGTGCACCAGGAGTCAGGTGTTTGGGTTACTATACTGGCTCTGTTACCTGACAGTGTGATTTTGGGCAAGTTCCTTAAGTGCCTTGGGCCTTGTTCTCCTCACCTGGAAAGGTAATACTTGGACCAAACAGCTCACCTTGGAAAGAAAGAGAGGGTGGAGTCCACTGAAATGCACTCAGGGACAAAACAACCAATCAGACTGGAATCAGGGAGAGGTGGGAGGGTGTTGGGGGAAGAAACATGATTATTATATCCACTGCAGATAGGAGAAACTCAGACCAAAAACAAAGAGAAGAGACTTGGCAAAAATGCTGGAGTAATAAACAGGGAACTGGTTAAATGAATTTTGGTGCAGAAAAGAAAAAGAGAAAGAAGAAAAGAAAAAGAAAAATGAAAACTCCTTTGTGTATTGACATAGAAAGAGCTCTCAGACTGATGAACACTCAAGGTGCATAACAACAGTGGTGTGTGCTTCCATTGATGTAGAAAAGAGAGAAAGGATCACATGATATACATCTTTCTTCTATATTTTTGGGAGAGATATACACAAAACATAACTTTATTAGCTTGTGGGGAGGAAAATTTGGTGGCCGATGGAGAGGAGTAGGAAGTAGATCTACTTGTTCTATAAAGCTTTTTGGTTATTTTGAATTTTGGGAACTTTATAAATGTATTCTATCTCCAAAACACGAAATAATGAACAAAAAATCTGGGAATGTGGGAGTAGCACTAGTGATTTCCCAGGCTAGTCCTCTCATCTGCTGGAAAAGAGGTTCATTGAAGCCTTTGGGCCCTCTTCAAGCCATCCCCACCCACCCAATTAAGTGCTTTAGACCAGATCTCACCGCCCACCCTGTAATGTACAGCCAAGATTGACGGCTGTGATGTGTTCTGATTGACGGCTGTGATGTGTTTAGATGCAATTGCCTTTTGATAATGATCTGGCTTTCTTATTGTTTTGTCGACGGGGACCACAGGAGAATGACAGTCTGAGATATTCGGCCTTTGTTTTGTTTGGGCAATTGGCTGCCTTTGCCGGGAGGAAATGGAAAAAATTTTTCACCGGTCAGGTTAAGCAGACACGAGATTCCCTCCTGATCCATTTACAGGACAGAAACCCCCAGGTTGCCAAGGTAAGACCTTGACTCTCCAACCAACAGAGTGACATCTCCATGCTATTCATAAAGGGAGTTGCGAGTTGAGACGCCAGACCCTGGGGTTCCTGCTAGCACTGCTGTAGATACTTAGCAGCATTTCTGTATGCATCCTAGACAAGGTGCCTCTTCAGTGTGTAATCTCTCTTTGAGCAAGAGTGTTATTTTCCATCTGCCCCACCTGCCCAAGCCCAGTACCTGTCAATGCTAGATAAGCTCAGGGTAATGGGGTTGGGGGCAGAGAGGCACAGATTTAATCAATGGTGCAGCAGCCCACATAAAGAGGATATTTATTCATGCCCAATTAGCTTTTCGTCATATCATGGCTTGTATTAGGACTTCCCACCTATAGCTGCTTTCTTTGTTTCTTTTCTTTCTTCCTTTCTCCCTCTCTCTTTCTTTCTTTCTTTCTTCCTTTCTCCTTCTTTCTTTCTTTCTTTCTTTCTTTCTTTCTTTCTTCTTTTCTTCTCTTCTTTCTATCTCTCTCTCTCTCTCTCTTTCTTCTTTCTCTCCTTTCTCCTTCACTTCCTTCCTTCCTTCCTTCCTTCCTTCCTTCTCTCTCTTTCTTTCTTCTTCTTCTTCTTTTTTTTTTGAGACAGAATTTTGCTCTTGATGCCCAGGCTGGAGTACAATGGTGGGATCTCAGCTCACTGCAACTTCAGCCTCTGGGGTTCAAGTGATTCTCCTGCCTAAACCCGCTGAGTAGCTGGGATTACAGGTGCCTGCCACCATGCCCTGCTAATTTTTTATATTTTTAGTAGAAATGGGATTTCACCATGTTGGCCAGACTGGTCTCGAACTCCTGACCTCAGGTGATCCACCCGCCTCAGCCTCCCAAAGTATTGGGATTACAGGCGTGAGCCACCTCGCCTGGCTCCACCCATGACTTATTAATTTCTTCTGGTAGTTTTGTTTTATTCTTGGAGAAAATGTGTCCTAACAAGGTTGGATCAACTTCAGGCCTGCTTTGGAGTGGGACTTGGTGAACGTTTCAAACCAATTGGGAGAAAAGCTTTCTACCAAACCACTTGCCTTCTTTAAGTTACTGAGAGAGAAATTAAATTTCGGAATCCAGTACTACTTTTGATGAGATAATAACAAGGGCTGTGCTAAACTATAAAGCTATGCCCTTCCCGCCAGTCCCCAAATTATAGACATGGCCGTCTTATAAGCATACATCCTTTAAGATTCAAATGTTGAAACTACCTGGAAGTTACTTTCACACTTTCAGTGGCCCTCTGACCACAGATTGGGTGCAACCTCTGGGATACTTTTCCTTGCTTGGGATTACAGAATGCTCTAATAAATAAAATAGTAACATTATTTTTCTCAGGCTTGCAAAACAACATTTCGAGCCTGTTCTCCATATCTGAAACTAAGGAAGGAATACAGCTTCCAGAGCGAAGAAGATCAAAGGAACACTAAGCTCTACCGGCAGCTGGTGAGTGAGCCAGGGTAGGAGAGAATTCTCTTCCGGTCCCTGCCCTCCTGGTGATTAACACGGAAGGTGGCCAAGCACAAGAAAGAGATATCCCCCATAAAATGACTCAGGCCAACTATGTTTTTTTTCTTTCTTTTTTTTTTTTTCTGGACAGAGTCTTGCTCTGTCACCCAGAGCAAGTGCAGTGGCACCATCTCGGCTCACTGCAGCCTTCACCTCCCAGGTTCAAGCAATTCTCGTGCCTCAGCTTCCTGAGTAGCTGAGATTACAGGCGTGTGCCACCATACCCGGCTAACTTTTGTATTTTTAGTAGAGATGGGATTTCACCATGTTGCCCAGGCTGGTCTTGAACTTCTGATCTCAAGTGATCTGCCTGCCTTGGCCTCCCAAAGTGCTGGAATTACAGGTGTGAGCCAGCATGCCCAGCCAAGCCAACTATGTTTTGATTGTAATTGACCCATCATACAACGTAAATGACAAAACGCCTAGAGGATCAAGCACGAGATATATTGGCAGTTCCAGTTCAGGTCACTAGCTGGACGCAGGTGATGCCTCCACCTGTCCTGCTTATCCACGTGCCCTGCACTGACCACTGCCTACTAGTTACATAGTCAAGGAAGTTTGCTGAATCCCGCCCTCACGCGTACCTTTGCTAATTTCTTTCAGAGCCATTATCATCCAGAGATCCTGCAGTTCTTCTATGCAAATAAAATTCTGTAAGCGCAGAGCAGCAGGGAAATGGTTCTATGTGAGTGCATTGCTGAGCCATCGTGTTCCCCTGTTTTATCTCACTGGATGCCTCTTCTCCTTGCCTCTTGGGATTGTAATGGAAAAGACGGTGCTGGGAGAGCAATCAAAGGCAAAAATAATACATGGAATTGTATGATTATATCTAAAGTTAAATTCTAGACTGCTTTCACTTATTTCATTTCCTCCCCATACAAATTTGATGAGCAGGTACACACTTTCTTTAAAACATTCCAAGTGTATATAGATTCAGTGCTTATTTCTCAGCTTTTTCCTCCTTAGGTTCATCTCTGTCACCTAGCTTTTATTTTTAACACTCAATTTCTGAGGCTTAGGAGAATACTTGTTACCTTAAGGTTTTTGTTTTTTGTTTCTGTTTTTTTTTTCTGGTTTTTATTTTTGTTTTTGGTGTATTTGCTATTGATACCTTTTCTTGCCAAGATTTATTTAAAGTTGGCCAAGATACCAAGAAGGTGGCTTGCAGGGGTATCTTTAGCGTCTCATAATTGTAAACAGTCATTGCTTTCAAGATCATCCGAAACAAGAATTAATAGAGAGAAAAAAATATATAAAGCCTGTGTTGAAAATCCTCACGCTCATGATAACTTAAGGGATAACAATAGTAGGTAACACTTACTGAGTGCTTACAATTTAGTGGACGCGGTCAAAGTGCTTTTTGTAAGTTCTATTTAATACTTGCGACAACCCTATGAGATAGTAAGTACTACTATTGTTCTCATTTTATAGATAGAAAGCTGAGACACAGGGAAATTAGGTAACTTGCCCCCAATAACTCAGTAAACAGTGGAGCTGGAATTCAAATGCGTACGGTCTGATTTCTTGAGCCCATACTCAATAACCATGCCATCCTGCCTGTCCGTGGAATAACTGATGGATGGTTAGAAATGTTAAAAACAAAACAAATGCAAACGTCTCTGCTTCTGCTCCTCTACTAAGCCCAGTTAACTTTTGCTTTTATATGTACTAAGTATACATTTTCGTTAATTTATGTGAGCTGAGTGTATGTTTTTATTAATTATTTTTTGGCTATTAATGCCAATTATTTTGGTGATCAATCCTAGTTATCTGAGGAGTCACATCACTCATAAAAATCACAAGAAAAATCTCTTAGTCCCGCTCCCCCTCCCTCCAACCAGATTGCATCCCAAGCTTCTATAGAAACTCTGGTACCACCCCTGAACTCAGTATCCAGGCCACACCCAGAGTGTTTTGTTCAAGACAATTTAAAACACGAGAGATTATAAAAACTACAGCAGGATCTTAAACAGCATTCTGAGAACCAGGAACTCAATTTTCTGCTGTAGCTCCCAGGGACAGGGTGGTGTGACACAGATGTGGGGGTGAGGAGAGGCCTAGGCGAGATGAGGATGTGGGAGATGGCAGACGGAGTGGCAAGTGCCAGGCAGGAATGGATTTTCTTCCTTCCTGTTTTGAATCTGAAGAACATGACAGCAAGAGATTTTAGGAGGGACACAGGCTCAAGAGGGTGTGGGTGGTTCTGAGCGGTAAGCCCCCTGCCCCTCCCAGCACCTGCTCCCCAGATATTGGCCTCTTCGAAATTTTGTTGCAAGGTTGGTTTAAACTTGATGCAGTTCCATTAAGTGATCAGTGAGTGGTCTGAGAAATGACTGCATGTGGCTGGCATTCAAAAAGGTGGGGATAAGGTGAGATGGGTGGGGTTATGTGGTATAGAGTAGAAAAACCTATGCAGTTAACGTCGCTGTATTGGTTAAAATTGTGGAAGATGTGGTTGAATTATTTGACTTTAAGATTCCACAGTAACCTTTTATTTTGATGGCCCCCAATGAGTCATGCCTCCTGATACTCATGTCCTTATTTAGTCCCTTCTGTTTGAATCTGGGCTGCCTTTGTGACTTGCTTTAATCAGGAGATTGTGATAAATGGCACTGTGCTGGGCCTAGACCCTGGCAGTTTCCTCGTTTGAATTGTGGGGGAAGCCAGCTGCCACATAAGAAGTTGAACTACCAGGAACAAAGGACAGTGCCTGAGATCACCATGTGAAGGAGAATGGAGACACCAACCCACAGCAGAGTCCGAAGCCCAGACACATGACTCAAGTTGTCCCTTCCAGCCAGACCCTAGCCGTTGAAGCTACTCCAGTTGACACCATATGGAAAAGAGACAAGCGTCTGTGTCAAGCCCATCTCAATTGCAGAAGCATGAACAAAGAATCAAATGATTGTTGTTTTAAGTCATTAAACTTTGGGATAATTTGTCACACAGCAATAAGTAACCAAAGAAGATTCCTTATTATTAACTGTTATCTTGGCTAATTTTGTTTTGCTCTTCATAAGTCCTCTTTGAGTTTAAATTCTATTTCCAGAAATTTATGTTATCATGAAATTTGGTGGCAAGAGCAAGGGACCATGTTGTTTTTGTTTGTTTGTTTTGTTTGTTTTTTTCTGTTTCTCACCATACCTATCACAGGGGCTGGCCACGTGATTAAGGAACATTTGCTCAATGACTAAATGATTCCAAATTGCAGAGGGAATAGAGTCCAACGTTCAGTCTGCCATTTCAGGCTTTCAACCTTCCTTTTCTTCTGTGACTCTCTTTGCTTCAGCCAAGTTTGGGTCTTTTCTCTTCTTTCAACATGTCTTGGTCTCCTACACCCCCTCACCTTGGCTCAATCTGCTATTTCTGTGTAGAGTCCCCTCACCTGTGCACATCCACCTGGTCTCACATGCACACACACACACACGCACACATTTCACATGTATATCTTATTTGTACTCCAACGCCTAGGTCAAAGTCCTGACCCCCCCCCAGTCAGGGAGAGCTCCAGTCTCTGAATTCCCAGAACATTCTAGCGATATTATACCACTTATATCTTATCTGAAAGGTTTTTTTTTTTTTGTTTCCCTATATGTCTTTTTATGGTGTTTTTTTTTTTTGTTTTTTTTTTTCCTGTTAAGATTGAAACTATGGAAGAAGGCAGGGCTCTATCTTGGACATCATTTGTATCTCCCTGGTGACTGCAAAAGTACTCTGTAAATGAATGTTGATAAGGGGGAAAAATGTCAGAAAGTCATCTGAAGCTGTCACTCCTTCCTGGGAGGAACCCATTTTGACAAGTGAGAGTCATCGATTTCATTCCTTATAACCAATGTACAGGTTACTTTTATGCTTGTGCATTTCAAGTTTCCCCTTCCCCGTGTTTATTTGAATGCCAACCCAAAGGTAATGTTTTGACATTTCTTAATTTTGAATATTAATTTTGAACCTTATTGAGCAGTTGAATGAAAGACAGAAAAAAGGAATGTTCAAGTGCCCCGCCCCCCATGCTAAGTGCTCAGGGTAGACCTATGCTTGGTCCCTTGTGTCTCTGGCACTCACGAGATGGGTCTTTCTTTCTTTATTTTTATTTTTGAGATGGAGCCACGCTCTGGCACCCACGCTGGAGTGCAATGGCACGATCTCGGCTCACTGCAACCTCCACCTCCCAGGTTCAAGCGATTCTCCTGTCTCAGGCTCCTGAGTAGCTAGGATTGCAGGTGCCTGCCACCATGCCCAGCTAATTTTTGTATTTTTAGTAGAGATGGGGTTTCACCATGTTGGCTAGGCTGGTCTCGAACTCCTGACCTCAAGTGATCTGCCCACCATGGTTTCCCAAAGTGCTGGGATTACAGGCGCGAGCCACTGCATCAGGCTGAGATAGGTCTTTCTTAAAAGGGAGAGGGAAGTGGTGGAGAGAGAGGAGAGAAAATGACAAAGGAGGTGGCTGAGAATCTAACAGGTGTGACCAATTCTGCTAATCAATGAGAGCAGAAGCCTGTGAACTTCCAGTCAATAGACTACTTAATTGGGGGAATGCTTTACACGTTATAAAAAAGCACTGGAGTGTTTGGAAAGTGAGAAACAACAGCTATGTAGGGTAGGTAGCAGTTAGTGTTGTATGGAAGACAGATATTTGTGCGTTTCTGCATTTTCTAAGTTTGCTGCAATGAGCATGTATTACTTTTATAGTTATAAAACACATGCAAAAGTGCCCTTTTAAAATGAAAAAAAGTCCATGAGTGTAAGTGATATACATGCTTGGAAAGCCTGGGATGGTCATTGTTTACCCTCGGTAGTATGTGTTTGCCTTTGTCCTTTTGAGACATTTTGTTTTAATCTGTTGATGACAATAACCTGTTGATAATATAACTTGATGACAAATAAAGTGACTTATGATTATCATTTTATTTATGTTACTGAACTTACATTAATTCTGTCTGACCACAGTAGAGTAAATCTTTTGTTCCTTTATTTACATGTTAAATGGTTTCAGAAAAACCCTGGGTTCTAGATAAATCCAACACATCCTAATTTCCTGAGGAGAGATGATTTGATATGCAAAGACACCTACTATTTACCAAGTTAAGCATAGACTCCCAAGCCAGACTTCTAAGATTCCTTATAATAAACACCAACCTAGAATTTCCCATGATGCTCCCTCATTTCCTACTGTCTGGAATACTTTCCAGTTCCTTGTTTCTATCAGCCATTCCCTGGCCTGATTCCAAATGCCATTTTCTTCAGAGGTAGAGCAGAGCTGCTAGGAGGATGCAGCCTGGCTCTACCATTTAGCCAGGTGTGAGCAAATCAGCGCATCAAGCCTCAGTGTGCTGATCTGTGAAATGGAGACGATAACCCAATGCATAGAATTGCTGGGCTGCAAAGATTCAATTAAGTCACACTGAGCACTCTTGGTACATAAAAGGTGCTCAGGAAATGTTAATTATTTTTGTTCCTCATTCCTAACACACTCTCCAGATAGTATTTCTGCTCTTCTTGAAGCTGCCCAGGTCTTCAGACAGGTCCATTGGTATTTGAGCGTTACCCTGATCCACCAGTCCTAGAGATAGCCTCCGTATCCTTTATTAGTTCTCCAAGCTTGTGGCTTTGAGTCTTGCCTGACATGGGTGTTCAGTAAAGATTGGTTGAATTCATTGAGTTGCAAATGCTGGCTTTTTGACCAAGTAGGAATCTGTCACCTGATAGGTTTTGGAATTTTTATAAAGATAAGAATCATAACAATGAGAATAGCAAGTGGTTCTTTCCCACTCCACCCTTTCGGGTGTGTGATTGCTCAGAGCGGGAGCAGTGCCTTTTTACACTCTTGAGGTGGTTTCAATAGATCCTGTTCATTCCA